ACACTCTCTCTCTCTCTCTCTCTCTCTCTCTCTCTCTCTCTTTAACGATTTCTTTCTCTCTCTTCAATCTCTGTCTCAGCCTGAACTTTAACATATGTGATATTCTTATCCTTTATCCATCTATGCCTTCTCTATCTGCTTTCGTTCTATCTCTCTCTCGCTCTCTGCTGGTGCTTGCTATAATTAACTGAATATTTATTACTGCGGTAGATAAAATGTTATGCGGCTATTATTTTAGTTTTATGGCCAAGCAAGAAGCCAACTGCCAGGCAGCCCAGCCAGGTGGGTTTAAGCCAAGTTAACGGCCAACAACAATACGGCCGCTGCAACTTGAACAGAGAGAGAGAGAGAGAGAGAGAGAGAGAGAGAGCGGGAGAAAAGTGTGGCTGTGGGGGCGGCTTGGAACAACAAGAATCCGAGCCAAAATGCACTCACGGACACTGACAGTCGGGACACAAACCATTGAGCAAGCGCAACCAATTAAGTCAACAACCACGGGCCGACTCCAGTTCGAGTTCGGGATTGTAATGCGGCTTGGGTTGCTTACGCAGAAGACCCCCTCTCCCTGGCAGGTGAAAAAAAAAAATAAATTAAAAATAAAATACCTTCGCTAATTGTTTTAAGGCCGCCAAGAGCAACAGCAACAACAACGCCGGCAACGCAATAAGGTGTGAAATTCAAGCGCATAAATCCAAGACGCAGCCAACGTTGACGCCGAAAAAGTTTCACCAGTTGTTGAGTTGCTCCGAGTCCCTGCTGCTTGCTGCTGGCTGCTGGGCACGCCTCCAGCCAGTTGATAAGACCAAAAAGGCTGGCACTCTGTTCGCTCGCTGGCCCGTAAAATAATAACGACATGAAAATTACGCATACGCCGTGTTGTTTTACATTGTCTACGTGCGGCGGCCAAATAAGACGGCTTATTAATATTATTACTCATACGCCACGGGCAAGTCCTAGGCGAAGGACAAGGGCAAGCTGCCTCCTGCCAGCTGCTGCTGTTGCTGTTGTTATATAATTATAATTGTTTAATGAACTGCACGGGTCTGTACCTAGAAGTAAAGCTGATGCCACAAAATGCGGCAGCTTGCGGGCGCTGAATCGGAACCAGAGTAGCTGCTGGGCGTGGCAAGTGCGAGGCCATTCGGCCGAAAGGCGTTGACGGTGCCTGCAGCAACAAAGAGTAGAAAGAGCTACAAAATGAGAGGCGGATGTTGAAGCAAAGGATGTTCTCAAGCGAAGGAAAGAAAGGAGAGCACGAGAAGATAGGCTAAGAGGATCACTTAGTGAATGCGAGAGAGAAGAGTATGGTAGACAATAGAGAAACTTTCGCCAAAAATGTTAGAGAGCAGAACGAGAGAGGGAGAAAGAAAGCAACCCTTGTCGCTCTAGCCTAGGAACCACCTAGGGGCCATCTTAACTCGAGGTTGGAAACTTACCTGACACCTCCGCATTCCGAATCCACTAAAAACTCCCCGTTACCTGCATGACAATCAGCACAATGATGACCACAATGACGACGATGACAATGATGTAGAAGTATATGCACATTTCAGCAGAAAAATATGAGTACGACTCGTACAGTTTAATATTGAATATTGAAGTAAAACTCGTAACTGTGTGAAGCATAGAAAACGACGAGAGATATGAAAAGAACAGAGAGGGAGAGAAAACAGGGTATATATTGTGGCTGTTTCGGAAATTGATAGACATCGCTTTGGGCCAATTAGTGTCAACACACATAACAATTGGTCTGTGCTGCAAATCAGCCGGCCGCAGAGGATAGGCTACTCTCTCCTTCCATCCCCATCCCCATCTCCATCCCTATCGCCTCTCGCGCATCTTGCACCTAACGAACCCCCAACAATGGGCAACGGGTATTACAACAATGTCCCGAATTGACAAAAACCATTTACACTCATTCTAATTTTCATTCTCTTGGCCCTATTCTCTGCTGCCCGCTGAACGACTTTCCGTGGCGTATAACCGTTAACGTTTTTGCGCCTCTCCTCTTCTCTTCTTTCCTCCTCGCCTCCTGTTCCATTATAGCCCTAGCCCCCTTTGCGCGTTATAGTAGCCAACTGGCCTGGCTCTTTCCCTTGTTCCACATCTCGCTCAAACAGCACATTATGAAGCCCGTCATTATTGGCACTGCCGGAAAACAGCAATGTGTGTGTGTGTGATTGTGTGTGTGCGCGCGCTTTTGTTGTTGCTGCTGCGTGTAGCTGTCTGTACTTAGCGGTTATAATAATTAAAATGAGCCAAATAATTTCAGCCAAAAAGCATCGATGAAAGGCTAAAATGCTCAATAAATGGCAGAAACGCGCGCTGTGTACTTCGTTGGGGGAATGGAGGGGCCAGGGGCCAGGGGCTAGGGGCTAGTAACTCAATGCTTCTTGTCAACCACCCAAAAGTAGCCCCCCCCCCCCTCGGCAGCCAAATGCAAGCCCCAGGGGGCAATTAAAGCGCAAAAAAAACTCAAGTCAAGAAAAACTTGGCCAAAAGTTTTCCCATCGATGACTTGGCAGCCTTTGTAGCTGTATGGCAAGTAGGTGGGGGCGGTGGGGGTATGGGCGTGGGGGCACACTCAGTGGAGTGCTGCTGCCATGTGATATCGATGTCATCCACGGCGAGAGCGTGTGCCAAGTGGGCGCCCATAGCAGTCGGCTATGCGTAAAAGTGTTAACCAAAAGCAGTTAAAATTACAAAAGGCAGCAGACGCCATCGCAATGGCAACAGGCCGCCAAACGGCAAGGGGCTGTGAGGGGTGGTACTTTGAAAAATTAACACCTAATATCCGCAAAATCGCATCAAAGTATTGTTGTGGAGTGCGCCCCCACGCTTACCCAGCAGCGAGTTTCGCCTTTTGTTAGATGGAAAACTTTGCAATTTCTTAAAAGTGTCGCCCCTGCCACACGCTCCCCGCCCCTGGTTGGGAAATGTGGAAAACCCCCGGCAGCTGTTTTACTTAGTTGTAGGCGTTATTAGCAACACTTAAGATGGTCCACGGGCAGGCGGTGCTCGGAGTGTGGCTGCTTGTGGGCGGCGTGGGGCGAGGGGCGAGGCTGGGGCCAACTGGAACTTGCTTTTTTCAACACCTACGCAACCAAAAATCGTAGACAATGGCAAGCTTTAGCGCAGGGGGCAGGGCTGGCACTTTGTTGGTTGATTGCCTGGTTGGGTGGATCGGTGGTTGGGTGGTTGGGTGGCTCAGCTTGGCGACGCCAAAATTTGCTATTGTTTTACTGCGAGCTGCTGTTGTTGTTTGGCATTGTTGTAAATTGACACCACAGCAATGAGTTAATAAGGCGATAAAAATTTTACCACCATGAAGCGAAACTTGGCGTAAGGGGCGCCAAGGCGGCGCTGGGTGGCCGCAGTGGAAGGGTGTAGCGGGCTGTTGAGCGAGCCCTGTTAGGTGGGGCATCTGAGAGGCTGAGGTGTAGTCACTAATCCTTAAGGCAGCTGAAAATCAAAGCGTTGCTTGAACCCCAACCCCTGCCGCTCAGCAGTCCACAGCATGAAATAAAGCGAGGCAAGAAACAACCTGATCCGAAAAACGAAACCTCAACTGGTTCCGAAGAGCAATAAAGCCTGCTTGAACATGTGAGTATATGCAATGTGTACATATAGGTTTGTATATAGTATTTATTTATATACATTTATGTAAATATATATGCATATATATTTTATACATATTTTTAATTATTTTCATTTCATGTCTTTTAATTAACATGCCTAATAAAACACATGCCAATGGGTTGGGCACAGCCGTAGGGGTATGCTTGGTGGTGTGTGTGAGCGAGGGGGTGGCTGATGTGGTGGGGTGGGGTGGGGTGGCTGTACCTTGAGCCTTATATGCACATACGTGTGTGTACATGGCAAAAGAGCATAAAAAGATATTGTCGGTAGTCGACAGGCGGGCATCACACAGTCTGATGTATGCAAATAACACCCCCCAGCACACTCGCACACACGCTCTTCCCCTACCCCTCTCTCTCTCTCTTTCTCTATTGCTGTCTCTCTGTGTGTGTGTGTAAAGAAAAACTTGCAAAGCCTTTGAATCGTGCGCTGCCTGCTAAAAATCCCAAAATATAAATAATTAAAAAGAAAATGTTGCTGGCAAATCAAGCGAGAACCAGTGCCAGAACCCGGCACCCAAAAAAAACGGAACGGGCTGAGACGATTCTTGTAATTATGAAGCCTGCAGCTCCCCCGCCGCACCCTTAGCCACAGCTCTAGCAGACGAAACGCCGTTGGCCTATTGCCACCGCACCAGCGCTTTCTCTTTTGTGGTTTTTACAAATGCATAATGCTGATTACGGGCAATAATTTTATGAATTTATGTAAACGTTACCAGTCGCTTCCAGTCTGTGTGAAGGTGTGCCTCCTCCTGATAAGCGGGATAAGTTGCCTGCCATTTTGATATGTGGAAACACCCGCACACACACGGACACACACACACACCACACACACATGTGCACATGTATGAGTGTGTGCCCATAAACTCCTTAAATGTCCTCCTATCTGCAGTCAAGTTTAACATAAGAGTCTATTTCTCCCACAAGTGTCATAAATTTGCGAAGAAATTGTCAAATTTTATATCATTTGCTTCTTTTTTGTTTGTTTCTGCTTTATTTTTATTTATTTTATTTTGCTACATTTTATGCCCAGTTGTTTATAGTCGGATACCTTCAGCTCTTTTCGACTAGAAAACTTTTTATGACATAAAGTTAATACGTAGAAATAATAAAAATGTTTCCTTTATGATCATGCTTCATAAAATCTGTTGAAACTTTTAAATATAATTAGCCAAATAATTATTTGAAAAATTCTTAAGCTCGAAGTAATTTCTATATCCGTCTTCATATCATTTAAAAATATTTATATATTTCGGAATTCAACATTTTTTCTTTAATTTATGTACAAAACTTAGTATATTGTAAAATGTTTTTAAATCAAAATTGAAAATTCGAGCACATTTGACTCTTTTTTGACGTATTTTGCTTCCTATCTGATTTTGTTTTTGTTCAAATTTGTAAATTCTTCTTCCAAATTTGTTCGTTTAACTGTTTAGCATGTCTGATGACTTTCTGACATTCTTGAAATTCAGCATGCATTGCTTCAAATATATCTACATATACTTTGTGTGTGTCAACCTTTTGGAGCATCTGATACAGGGCCAGGAGGGAAGCTCCAATTGAAGGCGACCAGCTGAGCTTTCGCTATGGGAGTATCAGGAGATGCTGTTGCAGCCACAATACGCATACGGAATGGAATTGGTCGAGCTTATTTCCCCTAATGGCCCTGGTCGAGTTGTGTCAAAGGATCTCAGGAAGTCGAAGGCAACGTGTTTCAAGAGCTGCCACAAAATTCGGCCAAGATGTGAACCGCCCTTAGAGAATGAAGTCAGTTTAGGTTTCCAATTCGATCACATTTTGGATAATTTTGATGGCAACTGAATACGAAACTGTTTACCAAATTAAAACCAATGCATTTTTATTTAGCTTTTTATTGAACAAGGCTTGAAGCTTTCATGTGCTTCAAAAGGCTGCCAAATTTTTAAATAGTGACAAAGGAAAGTGAAAGCTTGACAGGGCTGGGTAAGCTTTAATATTGATTGGGAAATTTAAAAGCTCTTTAATCAATTAAGTGGGCCTTAAAGTTCAATTCATGATTAAGTGAGCGTTAAAGCCCCGTAATGTATTAAAGGAGCTCTTAATTTTGCACTAGCTTTGAAAGCTATATACTCGCACGTAAATTTCAGTCATTTTGATCAAGATTCAGCAGAAAAGTTTAGAACTAGCAGCGTCTACTTAAATGTCAGTTACGGTCTCTCTACACTGCCAGTAGTAGGAGTAGGTGACTAGCCAGAAGTAAACGCTTAGCACTGCAAGAGGATATAGGTAAAATAATGGCAATAAGCAAATCGGCAGATACTTGCATATGTTTATACATGTAACAGTAAGTGTGAACATCGAATTGCGTCGACATGGAACCCAGACATAGGCGGAAATGATGAGAAGTAGAAATTTCACAATGTCCGTTGCCAAATAAACCAACAGCAGCGGCGACATTTCCTGCAATCCAATACGAATACAGCTCGATACACAAATATATATACACATACACATATATATATTTATATAATTGAGAATTTAATCAATATATATACTCAATATATTTTCAATATATATATATATATTTTCAATATATATATATATTTTGATTAAATTCTCAATTGGGCTTACGACTGCGGCGCTGAGGAATAGCATGATAACGCCCAGAAAGTGGGCCAGATAAATGATGGTCGCCACGGCTTCGAGCGTTGGATCTGTGGAACTGGTGGCTTTTAATGAGGTGCCCAATATTGAGGATTCGCTTACTCTTGCCATAGGACAAATGAACCATATGCATGCACATGTCAAAGAATGCAACCAGAAAGCATCCGGAGCGCAGGTTCACAAAGTAACAGCATTTGGCCAGTCGAAGTTTCATGTTGAGCTGACAGACAACTCGCAGCTAGCTGAAGTTTACAGTAATTTGAGTCTATCCCCCTAGCTCCCCCCCCCCCCCCCCCCCCCCCCACACACACAGTCTGACTAATTCCCCAGCCAATTCCCTGGCAGGGGGTTCCCCTAACCTGGTGCTCAGCTCTTTTGCATATTTCAAACTTTGCGCTAGTTGCTTGTAAAATTCTACAGAGCTGCAAAATATGACGCGCGCCCCCACAGCCCCCACCCATAATAGCTGCACCCCTCCTGTACACCAAGCTTCCCCAGTCGACATTAAAAAAGATAAAGTTTTATTTGCTTTTTTTCAAACAGAGTTGTGGTTCAGGGGCATTCCCGAACATATTCAAGATATACAACCTTATAAGAAAAACTACCAAAAGAAATGCTGACTTCAGGTTGCCGAATATTGTATACCCTTTTTGCAATAAATCAATACACTTTGGAAGAATATAATTTAGCCAAATACAACATTTTACCAGCCATAGTACTGCGGACTATGCTATCGTTCATTTGTATATACATTTCAAAGGTCCGTTTTAAAATCTACTCGCATTTGAAGCTCCGATATATCTCCTTCAATATGGCTTTATTATAAGAGCCCGCCGTTCCAGAGTGTAAAGTGAAAGAAAAAAAGAGGCTGCGATTGTTGTTTGGACTGTGGCGCAAATCAAATGAGACGTAAGCAAATAATATAAATAAATGCTAAAAGTAATAAATATGTAAGCAAATAGCCGCATAGGCAAAAATATATATATATATATATATTAATAAAAAATATATATTAATAAAAAAAATATATAAAATAGAAAGCAGGCAAAATGATGTCGAAAGGGGACCGAAAGCCAAATGTAATAATTAAATTGCATTTCCGTCTGTGGTCGTTGTCCTTCAACAAAATGGCGGCGGCGAAGTGTTCATGTGTGTGAGCATAAGTGTGTGTGGCTCTGTCTGTGCGTTGGATTGTGTGTGTGTGTGTGTGTTTGTGTGTGTTTGTGTGTTGTAAAAATATTTATGTAACCGCTGCACACTCATTGGTTTTTGCTTTATTTTTTATAGCTGGTCGAAAGGCAAACGGCGCCTCCGGTGCCTCCACAGAACCGCACAGTTTACAATATTATTGCCAGCTCTCATTCTCTCTCTTTCTTTCGCTCGCCCCTTCTCGCTCCCTCTTGCGCGCACACTCTCTACATGTGCCTGTCCTTGTCTTTTGCATATTCTGTCTCTGTTGCTCTGGGCTATATTTATGCATGGCAGTGCTTAAATTTATTTATCATTCAATTAAATATTTAAAATACCAAAAAATGCTTTCACCACTGTCCAACAACCACCCACACACACATACTCACACCCACACACACACACACGCACACCTTTAATATTGAAATTGAAATCATAAATAAATGAGCAAATTTGTGCTGTTTTTTTGGTTTTTTTGGTTTTCATTCTGCGAATGTCGACGGGTTTATTTGGTTTGGACGCGGTGCCAAGCGGCGTATGCGTAACGTGTATGTGTGTGCCAGTATGCGTGCGTGTGTGTGTGTGTGTGTGTGCTCTGTGTATTCTGTACATTTTATTGTTATTATAACAATGTTTTCTTTTTTCTGTTCACGCAGTGTTTGTAAAATTAATTGACATTTTATTTGTTAATTAATTGTTATAGCTGTTGGCCGGCCAGCAAAATGGCCAAATGGCTTTTCATTATTGTTATTACAAATGCCGCGGCCATTATTATTTGCTCGTTACGTGTGTGCGTGTGTGTTTGTGTGTAGCGAAATTTAATGCATTTGTAATTTAGTTGTAGTTTTAATTGCAAAAATTCTTAATTTTCTAATAATTTATTTATTCGCATGCAAAGCTCTGCGTTTGGCTCAGCTTAGAAGCGAGCGGTCTGTGGAGGGAGGTAGGGCAACCGGTTAGAAGTTGTAATTCCCATATAAATAGTCAAGCTCTTAACATTCAGCGGACAGATCATAGTATAAGTAGTTGCAGTGAGCAAGGCGGGAATGTGAGAACTGAGCAGCTAATGGGTTATTCCAGGAAATATATAAATACAATTTCTCTATGTAGAAAAAAGCACAATTGATTATCTTATTTATATGAATTAATACCCTTCTAGAGTGTATTATAATTTGTTCAATAAATGTATAGGGCATAGAAAAAGGCGTCTCAAAGTCCATCATAAATATATATACTCTTGTTCAATACTAATAGTCTGTCTATTTTTGACAATCGGACGCGATCCTCGTCTAACAAAGGTCGGAGATCAGATAAACTTCTTCAGCAGTCGATACGCCGTCAAGGTGCTGCAGCATCCGAACGCGGCCGTCAGGATCCTGGCTGACCCCGTCAGACAGAGGCACCACCAAGGGCTATACCTAGACGAGCTTCGTACGAGGATAATTATTTAAATATCTCCTTCTCCTTCTTTGTAAATAACCCAACATTGTAAATAACATATAAGTTACATGATTGTAACTATGCATTCTTCCCTTATTTATTCGCTTGGATCAGAAGGCACTGATCGATTGAAATATTTAATTAAATATTATGATTCTGTCAATAAGTTCAAGTATGACAACCCTTTTCCTTAATTAAGATATCTTGAGCAAGCTCAGCACTTACTTATTTGAGTATGTTTCCTACACGTAAACAAAATCTTGTGAACATAGTTCCAGAAGAATATTTAATCCACCAAAACAAACCGTTGTATCTTGTTTTACAATATTTTCGCTTAGCGTACACCAGACATTGTGGTTGCTTGAAGTTGATCCAATCATTTAAAGAGACATCCGCATCAACAATGTTCAAATGGATGATGGGCGTCTTTGAAGCGTTGCCCAAATGAAAATGGAAAACTGCAACAGCTGAAAAGATTATAAGGGCACAGTTATTCGGACTGGCGGAGAGCGGGGCGCGAGGCAGCCGAGGTCCCATCAATTTTTACAACTTTAAATACCAGCAGGAAGTAACTTAAAAACGACCTCGCCGCCTCATCCGCACTCACATTCACATTCTCATCTGCATGATTCCTGCAAGCCCCCACCCCCCTTTGAATGCGTTCGAGAACGCGACTGGCAATAAGAAAAAGTCATAACAAAATTTTACGACAACTTTGGCGGCGTTTTCATTTCGAGCCGGTGTATATATGCTAGTTGGGCTTCTGGTCGGGTACTGATGCTGCCTCTGAAACGTATGGTGGTGGCAGTGGGGGAGGATGAGGGGTGTAGTGGTAATGGGTGGTTCGGTGGTTGCCCATTGTCGGTTAGGTGAGCTGCAAAATGCAAAACAAAGGAAAATTACCAGGCGAAGCGGAGCACAGACAAAATATTCTAATGGCTGCCATCCCGCTGCTAGCCGCTGCCTCAGACGGGCCTTGTTTGGGGCGAAGGGTGTGGTCGTGGGGGTTTGGCATATAATAATCATCTATATTCATGGATTAGGATTCAATTTTTATGCCACACGCAAAAGCTGTGGAAAAAACACAGCAACAACAATGAGGGTTAAATTGAAAATAAAGCGACGACGCGACTTCGCCCAAACGCTGCCAAATATGAAATTATAAAGACTCCAAAAGAATAGCACGGCGAAGAACAAAGAGTGGGAGGGAGATGAGAAAAAATAACAAAAAAAAAAAAAAATAATTCAAAAATTTATGCAAGAAAATATTACCAAAGAGCTAATAATTTTCTCCCGCCTTTCAAGGTGGCAAAAGCGCCGCGTGAGGCGCGCTTTTTGTGTGTGAGTGGGCGGAGAGGGGGTGCGGAGAGTGGTGGGGCAAGGCAGGGCAGGGCAGGAGCAGGGGCACGTTAAATGCGCTGGTTGAGCCAGCAGCGAACGTTCCGGGCTTCTATTAATGAATAATATCGCGGCTAAGGCATCGGCATAGGCATCGGCTTCAGGCATTGGCATCAGCGGATTCGGAGCTGAAATCGGAGGAGGAGGCGAAGACAGAGACTGAGCTGGAGCTGGAGCCGGAGATGGAGCTGGAGCTGGGGCACGCCACAGGGGTTAATAAGTAATCTGCATTTTTTGACATTTATTTATGTCTTCAAATATGTGCGGTGCTCTCCCTCTCTCGCTCCATCTCTCTGTGTGGGTGTGTGTGTGTGTATATGTGTCCCTCGTGGGCGGCACGTAATTCGGGGGCGGCAACAGCAACAACATCAAGAACAAAGAGCGCCGTAGAGAAATATAACAGCTGTTAAAAGTGTCATTAGAGAAAATATACTCAGGTCCATACACGCTTCTGCTCGGCTCTGTCATTATCCTTCGAAGTGCTAAGCATTTGTATCGCAGCCAGTAGCAACACGACAGCAGACGGCAAAGTCTCATCAGAGCGGTCACAAGGCTAGCTTTAATCTGTAATTCCAATACACATACACACTCACATATTTTTCATATCCCAATTTCTAAGGAACCTGCGACAATTCTTATAGGCTGCCCAATTCTGCGAAGCAAGGATTCCTTCGATGTCGACGCCATGCTGACTTTCAGGCACCATAAAGCGCCTATTTCAAATATTGGCCAGCATCTGAGCGTTGCAGCAGATCTCACCTTTATCTCAAACTATTTATACAAAAGAAAAACATGTAAGAAAGAAACTTCCATTTGCTTATATAAATTTCAAAGTATTCCCAGTTTGATTAGCTCTGATGCCAATCTTCATGCTTTCAGCCAGCACCCGAGGAAGTCTGGTAGCTTCAGGTCGAGCAGTTTAGTTCTCGGCAGAGTTGAGAAGTTTTCTCCCACTTGTCTTTCTAAATATATGCAGTTGGAAATTTAGGCGATAGGCGTCCCAATCTTCCCATTTTCATTTGATTATTTGGCAGACCTTCTCCTTTTCTCTCTAATCTGAGTGCATTCTTGTGCTTAGCACGAGAGGCTTTGGAGGTTGGGAGAATGGGCAAGATTTTAGAATGAGCTTAGTTAGTTCAGTTCCTGGACTGGACTAACGTTCTTAGAAAAGCTCTTCCGGTTCGTTCTTCTAACGTTTGTGTATGC